TAACTGTCATACCTAAGAATAAAGAAAAATACATCAGTTTCCAGTGGGGCCATCTAAGATTCTTAGATAGCCTTGGTTTTCTCAATAGCAGCTTAGATAAACTAGTGGCAGATCTGGCTCCTGAAGACATGAATATGTTAGGTACAATCTTTCCGAATGAGGAGGAACGTAAGCTCGTGTCCAGAAAAGGTGTGTACCCGTATAGTTTCTTTGATTGCTTTGAGAAATTTCAAGAGTCGTGCTTGCCTGCAGTGGAAGCATTTAAAAATGATTTAACAGGACAAAACATTTCGCCAGAGGATTACGAGCATGCATGTAATGTATTCAGATCATTTAAAATGAGTCGTCTATGGGACTACCATGACTTGTACTTGTTAACAGACGTGTTACTGCTGGCTGACTGCATGGAAAACTTTCGCAAAATTGCCATGGAACATTATAAATTGGATCCCGTACACTTCTTTACTACACCCGGACTAGCGTTCTCAGCTAGTCTCCTGTTCACAAAGCAGCGATTAGAGCTCATTGATAATATCGAATGCACCTCATGTTTGAGAGAGGGATGCGTGGTGGTGTCGCCAGCATTAATCATAGAAATGTTAAAGCTAATAATCCATACATACCTGAATCATACTGTAAAGACAAACCTAATTCGTATGTAATGTACTATGATGCAAATGCCTTGTACTCGACGGCCTTATGTGAAAAGCTGCCAGTAGGTGGATTTAGATTTCTGAGTCAAAAGGAAATTGATGAGTTTGATCCGCAGATAATAAACCCTGAATCTGATACTGGATACTTATTTGAGGTTGATCTGGATTACCCTGCTGATTTGCATGACTGGCACAATTGTTATCCTTTAGCTCCAGAGCATGTTGAACCGCAGTATGAAGACCTTTCTCCATTACAGAAGAAAATGATCAGAGATTTTGGACTGTCTAAGAAAAGTACAAAAAAACTAATTCCGAATTTGTCAGATAAAAAGAATTATGTGTTACTGGGGGATATCTTGATATTGTATTTAGAATTAGGTTTAAAACTAAGAAAAATTCACAAAGTGATCGAGTTTGAGCAAAAAGCATGGCTCAAGCCTTTCATTGAACACAATATAAACATGCGCAAGAAAGCTACATCTGATTTTCAAAAATCATTTTGGAAATTGATGTGCAACTCTGTGTTTGGGAAGACATGTGAGGCAGTAAGGAATCACAGAAATGTTGTACTAACTAAGGATAGAGAAAAGTTTCGGAAACTTGTAAGAAGCCCCCTCTATCATAGTTTTGATATATTCAACCATAACCTTGTTTGTGTTGAGAGAAAAAGATCACAAATTGTTCTCAACCGGCCACTTTTTGTAGGCCAGGTTTGTTTAGATATAAGTAAAATGATTATGTATCGTTTCTATTATCAAGTTCTGAAGAAGAGGTATGGCGATAATGTAAGGGTATGTGGTACGGATACTGATTCTTTAATTGTGGAGATATTGACAGAAGATATGTATCAAGATATGTATGGAATGAGAGAGTACTTCGATACCTCTGACTATCCTACATCCCATCCGCTTTACAGCGTAGCGAACAAAAAAGTGATGGGTAAGTTTAAGGATGAAATGAATTCAGAGCCCGTCGATTCTTTTGTAGGATTAAGAGCCAAAATGTACAGCTTTAAAACAAAGTCACAAAAAGAGAAATCGGTGGGAAAGGGAATTCCTAGAGCTGCCTTGAAATCACAACTGTGTTTTGAAGACTATCATAAATGTATTACCCACTTCAAGTGTAAGAATGTGTCTTTTTCAAAAATTGGGACTGACTGTAAACATAATGTGTATACAACTTATTCCATTAAAAAGGGCTTAAGTTGTTACGATGATAAAAGATTTATTTTAAGTGACAATTGTTCTACTTTAGCACATGGACACTATAAAATTAAAAGTATTAATGCTCGTGCAGCACATAATGATGATGAAATAGATTCTATTGTCGATGATGATGATGATGATGATGATGATGATGATGAAGGTGCGAGAAACCTGAGAGAGCTAATACTGCTGCAAGATGAAATGTGTCTGTAAACCTCTGTAATAATTAAATGGTGTATTTGTTTATAATCAATTGGGTGGTAATAAAAAATAAAAAAAATGAAAATACCTGCATTTTCCTCATTCCCTGTCACTTAGTATAAAAGACGGTAGAACCCTGACCAAGTCATCACTTCATCCCTGGCTGCTGAGAAGGTAAAGTCCAATCATGTGGCGTATGCGGCATCCTTTTACAGCGTGCCTGGCCGCTCCTGCTGGATCAGGAAAGTCAACCTTCATGTTACGTCTCTTGCAACACCTTACAGAGCTGGTCGAAGGAAACATATCAAATATTGTGTGGTGTTACGGCCAGGACGGAGCCGTACCAGAAGGTGTGTCGAAAAACCCTGCGATAACTTTACACCGTGGCATCCCAGCGGAGGATTCCAGCGTGTTGCAGACAGATTCATTGGTAATATTGGATGATCTGATGAATTCCGCGCTAAACGATCTAACGATTGCGGAACTGTATACCAAAGGCTCACGACATCGACAAATATCTGTCGTCATTCTATCTCAAAACCTGTTTCATCAGAGTAAGCACGCCCGTTCGATAAGTCTGTCGACCCGCTACTTCATATTGCTGAAGAACGTGCGCGATAAGGTGCAGTTTATGCACCTAGCACGACAAGTTTACCCCGAGAACGCGCGATCACTCTGTGAGGCACTGAACGACGCGTGGTCGGGTCCGTTCTCATACCTGGTAATCGATTTAAATCCAACCACAGATGATGCGCTCCGTTTTGTGACAAATATCTGGCCGACGGATCCGCATCTGACAGTTTACGCTACGGACGGGGCAGTCGAGCAGCTACGACAGAAAGGGAAAGGAGCAATACTGGTATCCCCTGCAGGAAACATTTTCAAGCAATGACAAATCCTCTCGAGAAGCTGGCAAAGTGCAGGCATCATCTGCATGTTCTGCGCGAGAGCCCCTCTGAACTGCAAAAGTGTATGATAAAAAACGCTGACGAGGATTTAATTCTGAGCGTATGCGAGATCGCATTGAATATTTTAAGGGGGAACATCGCCATTGATGATCAGTCGCGAGACGTTCTTCAAAAGTACAAGACCGTTCTCCGACATCTGGCGTACGTGAAGGAGCGGGCTACGACAAGCAAGAGACAAACCGGTGCGGGTGTGCGAAAAGCCGAACCCGTCTGGAAGAAGAAACGACGGTATCTTGTGCAGAAGGGCAACGGGCCCTTTCTGACGGCATTAATCAGCTCAGCCCTCGGTGGTGTCATCGGAAGAGTTATGAGTCGTGTGGTTGTACCCGATAAAAAATCAGGTTAAGGGTATTCAGCTGAGAAATGAGTGCTTCAGTGCTTAAAAAAATGTTGGTGATTTCACCGCAGCAGTTGGAGCGGATGAAGAGTGAAACGTTAAAAGACATGAAAAAAGATTTAGAAGGAAAAATGCAAGACACTCTAAGAAATTCGGTTAAAAAGGACGAAGTTCAAGAACACGAAGAGTGGGACAAATATCGTGCGCTGCTGCAACGATTTCTTGATGTGAAGCGAGACGAAAGAGAAAATAACATAAATCTGCCCATTTATGAAGTTCCAGAAAACGATCGCGAAAGCATGGACGAAACAAAGACCATTTTACAGCAAATGTTGCGGCAGAGAGTCAAGGAGGAACGTGACAAACAGAAGCAGTCAACCGTCAAGATGGAGGGAAAAGATGACACCGGCATTCGCCAGCCCTCTCCTGGACAAGGGGGATCCACTGCAGTCGCGATGGTGGCATCTGAAAAGAGTGATGATAAAGATGTCGGTGCTTTCGGAGCACACTTGGCGGTAAGACGTAGTCTTGAACGGCAACATTATCCGGAGGGTGAGGAATTGATAGAGAGCGGTGACGTGACGGGTATTCACAAGAAATACATTCACGGTGCACCCGTATTCGCTTATCGCATGTCTTCAGACTACAATTATGAGCGCGATGCAATCCCGGCTGCTGTCGCGTTGCCGCATCATGAAGACGCGGAAGAAGATGCCCGCTCTGTTTCCCTCGAGACAATGCTCGATGTCATTGGTGACCGTGTGACACATCAGAGTCAGCAGCTAACGGCAATCAACGACACTATCCTGCACGCCTCGCGCATGGAGATGGATGATGATGAAGAGCCGTACGCAGTCACGCCCTGGCGCGGCGTGGGTGAGGACGTATCACCGAGCGCGTTCTCGACCCCGATCGGTTCCCCGGCGACCACCTGCATCCGTAGGTCGCCGCACACGTCTCCTAAAATTCGTCAGTTGCGCGGCCGCGAAGTGGTGTGGTCGCCATTGCAGCTAGAGAGACGCTCCCGAAAGATCAAAAAGTAGATGCCATGATGACCTCATTCGCAGGTACACCACCTCGGATTCGCCATGCTTGCACATTCCCGCGATGGGCATGCATCGGACTACAAAATGGGAGCGGGCGTAATTCAGCTTTGTCAGCGTCAACTGCAAGTAACGCCTGCGCCCGCGCCAACGCCAGCGCCCGCGCCAACGCCAGCGCCCGCGCCACCGCCAGCGCCACCGCCGGCGTCACCGCCGGCGCCCGCCCGCCGCGGGGGAGGGAGATGGTTCGTCGAAGCAGCGGCAGCGGTGACGACGACGACGACGGCGAGGAGGACAGTCGAAGACAGTTTGTCGATCGAGAAATGTGTGAAATATACTATGATTTAAAAAATCCATCTGCGTATTCTTCTGTTGCAAATTTAAAGAGAGTGGCCCGCACGCGTGGAATCACGCCTGCGGAGGTGCATGCGTGGCTTCTAAGCCAGGAAATTTATACACGCTTCAAGCCAGCTCGTAAGAATTTTCCACTGAATTTTTATAATATCAAGGGGTTGTATGATGTGTATGAAGTTGATCTAAATGATATGAGAAAATTAAACTCCTACAACGATGGTTTCAATTATTTTCTCACCATGGTATGCTGTCTGAGCCGTTATGTCTGGATGTACCCTCTGAGAACGAAAACAGGCAGGGAGGTTGCTGATGTATTCGAACAACACTTTACTCGGGCTGGGAGAGGTGTCAGGTTGGTTCAAAGTGACAAGGGCACGGAATTCTGCAACCGGGAGGTGTCTAAAGTTTTCCGAAAATGGGGTGTTTCATTTCGTTCTCTGGAAAATCGCGGGAAAGCTGCCATGGCTGAAATCGTCAACAGGACATTGAAAACACCGCTATGGAAGCATTTTGAGTACACAAACAGCTGGCGATGGATCGAACCCCTGTCGCAAATTGTGTCCAACTACAACCACACTATTCACGGTGCCACGGGCATGGCACCCGCTGATGTCACAGAGAAGGATGTCTTCAAAATCTGGTCAACAATCTACCTGCGACATACAGCTCCACAATTGCTACGACGACGTCAACGGGCAGCTCAGAAGGCCAACGACGAGCGAGGCGACTCAAACCGACGGGTCAGCAACAGCGGCGGCAAAGCAACGACGACCGCTCCAGTTTTTAAACCAGGTCAATTCGTCCGCATTTCGCTAACTAAGGAATTCACCGAGAAGGGCTACACGGCGAAGTTTTCGAGGCAGATATACAAAGTCGCTAAGGTCATTCCATTCTCGCCAGTTCACATGTACACGCTGACAGATCTAAACGGCGAGTCTATCGTTGGTCGCTTCTACGGCCATGAGCTTCAGCGAATCACACCCCCTACTTCGGACACGGTTTACAGAATCGAGCGAATTTTGGATCGCCGAGGACGCAAAGGTCGCGATCTGCAGTACCTGGTGCGTTGGGCCGGGTATGATAAAAACTTTGATTCGTGGGTCCCCGAGAGGGACTTGCAAGACATTGAAGAGTTGAAGAAGTAGAAAGAAGAACAGTTAAAAAGTGAAGATGGAAGGAAACATAGGGGTAAAGGGTGCGACCGCGCCTGGCGGTGGCGGCTGTGGCAGCGGCAGCGGCTGCGGCTGCGGCAGTGGCAGTGGCAGTGGCTGCGGCTGCGGCTGCCGGCCGCACCCCAACCATAGGGCGACTTCTGAGACGGCGCCCCTCAAGGTGGGGATACATAAAACGTTTGCCACCGTTCCCTATTCATCAGTTCATGTTTGCACGTTCACGGGGCTACAATACTGTAAGGGGGGCGTGGATTTTGTTTGCGATCTGTCTCCAGAATGTATATCACCTTGTGCTCCGATAGCTCGAAACGATTTTACAGTGATAATACTATTTCAAACTTTGGCACACAACTGAATCGAGTTATTTGCAGCAGTGACGACGGCAAATCTTATGAGGCGGGGTTGGTAGAAGTATTTTTACCTGCTCGGGTCACATTTCAGTCCAGTCCCTCTCCCATATTTTGTTACTGTGACGTTATAAAGCCGCAGCTAGTTAGCGATTCGGAATCGCGTTTGCTTCGCGTCCTTACGCCTTTCAACCCGTTTGGTCATTATCAGTTGTCATCCCGGGGGAGCTGGATATATTTTCGCCGGAGAAAGTCCAGAATGCCATTTTAGGGCAAGTGATGAGTCAACACAAACCACTCAGTGCGATAACTTATCCGCTGACCGTCGCTGAATTTCACTCGCGTGGGACAAACAACCTCTTCAGACGGCTGGATCAGACTTTCTTGGACCTCGACACATGCTTCAGAGTGGAGGATGGCGGAAAACCAATGCTGGAACAGGACGTGGCTACGATCAACAATTTGCTTTTCAGTCTATTTCAGAGTTGTGAACTGTACTTGAATGAGAAATTAGTAATGAAAATTGACCATTTTGGGTATTACTCTTACATCAATACCCTTCTCACTTTCTCAAAACAAGCGGCTGAGACGCACTTAGAGTCGAGTATGTTCCATCTCGACGACCCCGCTCATGTTGAGACAGCCGGGGATGCTAACAGTGGCTTCAAGGCGCGGAAGAATCTTTTGTCTCTCGGAAAATTGTGTCAACTTTTCGGTAAAATGAGGGGTGGATTATTTGATCAACCTCTACTGCTTCCCCAGGGAATTGATGTGAGGCTAAAGTTGACATTCGCCGAAGAGAAATTTTATGTGTGGGAGGCGGATGGAGCTACAAGTCTACAATTGCATGTACCCGATATTACTTTGCACCTAACCAATGTGATTGTGTCTCCCTCTTTGATGTTGTCCCATGAGCGTATTCTCAGTCAGGCCAATGCCCAATTCCCCCACAAACGTGTAGAAGTTAAAACTTACACATCCCCGCCAGGAAGCTCCAATATTCACTTGAATTCAATTTGCAACGGACCCATCCCAACATTTCTGTGTTTGATAATGCTGGACAACACTGTTTTTAATGGAGATAGAAAGAAGAATAGTTTTACTTTCGTTCACAAATCTGCAACTTCTGTAACATTCTTTGTAAATTCACAAGAGCATAAGATTGGCCCAATAGATTTTCATTCAACCAGCCCAAATTTCCAGAAGGCCTATTATCATAGTCTGATTATGTCAACGGGGGCCGATAAGCGCCCCGCCTCCATGATGGTCACCCCACATATGTTCCAACACGCTTCTTTCATGGCATGCTTGGATATTTCTCCAGATCGCAGCGGCAACACGGGGCACACAAGTGTGCGCAACGCCGGCGTCGTACGCGCGGAAATTAATTTCGCACACCCTTTGCAGACTGCTCTCACCTGCCTGGTATTGCTGGAATACGATGCTGTACTTACTATTGACTCGGATAGAAATATTTCAATTTATTAAAAATGGATACTGTAGATATTGAAAAAGTTTTGTTAGCTAACGGGCTTACTAGGAAGTTCTTTATTGGGGTATTTGCTGCAAACTGTCTACCCACCACGCCTCTCCCTCGACCTGCTGTGCTCGTGGCAAACGAAGATACAGATGATATGAATGGGACACACTGGGTTACTTTCTATTTACCTAATAATTTAAGTGGAGTAGAATTGTATGATTGTCTTGGTGGTAGTACTTGTAACCCTTACTTTATTAGGTTTATTAGTTTAAATGGAGGATTATTGTATAATATTAAGCATAGAATTCAGAGTGACACTTCTGATGTGTGCGGTGAATACAGCTGCATATTCGCATATTTGTGTTGCAACCCTGAGGACTCTGTACAAAATTTCTTGAAATACATGTCAAGGCATTGTAATAAAAATGATAGGTTAGCTGTTGAATTATTTAATCGTGTATTTACTTGTACGGTTCATTTTGCGCGAGCCTCATTGCGCTCAGTACACGCTCAGACCTGTACGGCGTTGTGCCACGTCAACAAACGGGGCTGCCCCGCAGCTCGCCGAGGCTCTCCCCCACCCGCTATTGCAAGTTCTGCAACGATCAGCAATCATCCACCCCTGAGCACACCCATATAACGGGGCGTCGCCGACGCTGGGGCGCATTGTGTCCCGTGCTCTGCAGTCGACACGCTACCAGGAGCGAGCGCCACATACCCAGCCGTCAGATCAACAGTCCACCCACCTTCTCTGCTCGACCGTTCTTGACTCATCTACTGAAAAAGGTGCGTTAACTTGTTTCATGGTTATTAGGGGTGCCATTTCTTTTGATGCACTCTCTTGTCAAAATTACGATTTTACACACTTTTCTGATACCAGCCGTATTGTTTTTATTTTTCCCACAGATGTCTGATGCACCTGGACTTGACAAGCAAGCCTTAGCCGCGGCTTTCAACGCGATCGCTGGGAATCCCGAGTTTACCAGCGTCAAGGATCTGAAGCCAAAGACACGCTACGAGATCCGCTGCATGACCCGCATATCTACCAAGTTCGGCGAGAAGATCAAGGCAGAACTTAAAGATATGGGTGGGGAGAGTCTGTTTGTCGTGATGCCCACAAGACTTGCGAGGCTTCTTGATGAACAGATTGATGCTATTAACAATATGTCTGTTAGTGGGCAGGCTCCGTACTTTGTATATAACGGGACAACTGAGACGGGGTCATATGATGTGGAACTTGTGTTTGATGAATAGTTTTTTGTCATTGTATGTATGATTCTGTTGTTAAATATTGGGGTTTAAATAAATATCTTTTGGGAAACACAATTTTTTTCTGTGGTTAATTTACATTTATTTCCGATTATCACACCTTTTGCATTTTGACAGTACAGAAAGCAAACAACCTCTGCAAAAACTGCTTCACATGTTGACAACTTGCTGCATTGCACTCATCAGCACTAAGACAGTGCAACAGAGTTGAACTCGATGAATCGTCGACGGCCTTTTTGGCTGCACCCTTGCGCGTATACTTCCTACGCTTCCTCGGATCTTTACATACAACACACACAAAAAACACGAGATTTAGAACAATATCCTGGTTTTATCAACCCACAAATGATAATTTATTGTCACTGATCATACCTCTTGGTTCAGTTTGAGCTGGAGCTGCGACAACCGTATCTGGACACACTATATTCACGTTACCTCACAGTAATTCATACAACCTAACCACACTTTTTTGAAAATTACTTACCAGGTACAGGTGAGCAGGTTTTAAACAATGTCTCGGGGTCTACGACTTTCCACCCGAGCATTTCTCCCATTTCTTCCTCTGTTAAAGTTGACATCGTTCTCAGAGCCAGATCAGACAGGCTTGGATAGGTCTCCATTCTGAGCTGCAGCGGGCGAGGCGTTCTCTTCACACAAGACACAACGAGCGACTCTGACACGCTGTCAGCGCTAAAGAACTTATATACTGCACTTGTTTTCAGTTTTTGCTGACACATTCTCAATAGAGTCGGTTGCACCTGCAACCCCCCACCTATTTAAACTTCAATGCTATGTCATCATTTTTTCCAGTCTGGTTTGACATAAATCGGCGGTGGGGGTGCCGGCTTACTAAGCACTTTCTTTAGTCGACCAGCACATAAAAACGTTGCTAATATTCGGTCGTTTTGGCTCAGGCCTACTTGTTCCAATAAAGTTGGTCGTTTCTTCTTTTGCATTTCTAAAAGAATATTCGCTTAATCACATCCAACTCGAGCGGGATTCGAACCTGCCACCTTCGTACTCCGAAGCAGAGATTTAAAGCATGCGGCTAAGCGAATATCCTCTGTCATACCCATCCGACAGTCCCTATTTATATGTATCGGAACTCAAACATACCTCCTCCCCTCTTTTTCCAAAATTCATGCAGCCTCTGCTGATGTTGAAACAGATCCATTTTGACTATTCGCACGCTCCCACCTGCTGCGATGGTCACCGCGATGGCCACCGCCACGCCCGCGATGGTCGCTGAAAGATGCTGACCGTGCATCTGCCCTCGCGCCGCGAGGCGCCGACCGCTGATGTGTCATATGCATCGCCCTCCCGCGATGGCCGCTGAAAAATGCTGACCGCGCTGTGCCGAGCGCCGGCCGACCGCTGACAAGACGGCACATGACATCCAGAACCGTAGGGGGCGTTCTCTATGTGTCACAGAGCTGCCAGATCGGGCGATTTTGCGCCCGGCGGGCGATTTTTGGTCTCTCCGGGCGATTTTTTTTTGGCAAAATGCGCCCGGGCGATTTTCGGGCGATTTTATTTCTGTCGGGCGATTTTCGGGCGATTTAGTGAAAATTCCATTTTTTGAGGCGTTTTGGGGTGGTTTTTGATGTTTTCTCAGCCTATTTCACCCGTTTTCGATGTAAATGTGTGAAATCCCGATGTAAGGCACGATACCGAGGCATAGTAACAAACTGTATACAAACACTTAGTGACAAAACACCTTTGGACAATTTAGAATTCCCGGAAAATCCCGGGCGCCCGCCGGGCGATTTTGGAATACCCCGGGCGATTCCGGGCGATTTCATTGGCTGAGAGGCCTCGGGAGGCCTCGGGCGCGCTCGGGCGATTCCTGCGCCCGAGTCGGGCGATTCGGTCTCGGC